CTGAGGACAAGCTGTCTTCCCACTAAATACTGAGGCAAAGAAAGCCTTAAGTACCTCTGCCAGAGAATAAAGGTTGGTCTTTACCTTCCTTTTGCCATTAATATATTTGTAAAATCATTTTTTATTATCCTGAAGTCCCTTTTAATTACCCTGATGCTCCACTTTTCAGTCCCACCACTGCCAGCCTGGAGTATCAGCAGTGGGTAATAATCAGAGGGCTGAATCAGCCCAGGGAGTCTCTCAGTGATGTCGCATACCTGGGCCCCAGGGAGGCAGCAGACCTCTCTGTGGCGTGGCTCTGGTCAATAGGTCATGGGGCCCTCTGTTCCCCTCAGAAGGGAGTCACCCACAAGGACTACCCTTCTTTTTAATGCCAGAGGCAGTGTCTGTCTGACAGGTGAAGTGTAATTGAGAGGCTCACTGGGCAGATAATTTTCTTCTAAATTATCTGTCTGGCTCTCTAGATCCAGGGCCTCATACCTATTCTGAAGTGGCACCTGGCTAGGGGATGGGGGGCAGGAGGGATTTTTGTTATTACCTCCCCGAGCAGGGACCCATTTCCACTCCCCTTCATCTACCAGGTGCCCCTCTATTGCCTGAGAGTGGGAAACATGGGAGTCCTCTGACTCCTGGTAGGCCTCCCTTAAGGATGGATGGGCTGAACCCCACCAATCTATTTCCCTTTCACTTTCAACTTTCTCCCTAAACTGGCCACCAACAAAAGGAGATCATTCACCTGTTCACACCGCAGGCAGGGTTCTTCTGCAACGCCCCCGGAAACCACTGATAAGCTCAACCACTGATAAGCACAGGAGAGGTGCGGACAGACACATCCCTTTTGGAGGGTTCTCTTTCGCTGCATATGCTTTCACTAACTGCACCTTTTGATCGTGTAAAAACCATTACTAGCAAAAAACCCCAAAACCAACCAACCAACCAACAGAAACACAACAAACTAAAAACCCCTCCAGCAGGAGGAAACCAGCCCTGCCAGCGCGGACTGCCGTGCCACGCCCTGGGTTGCCCACTCCAGTTCACCATGCTCCCTAGAACCCTTCTTTAATCACCCCGCTCTGGCAGGAGGAAAGCCCTGCCCTGCGCCATGTGGCTAAACTGCCACCAAAACAGCATTATTTGCTCTACTGGTCCTCAGCAGCAGGACATCAGGACCCTCAAAAGTGCCTGCCATCGTGTCCCTTCCAGTTTGCTGCAAACTCCAAGGACTTGCTCCCATCCTGCTAGGAATAATGAGGAATGAATAGAGGATATTCCTCTAAGGAGTTGCACCACATGAAAGAATAAGAAAATAAAAAGAAGGAACAGGGGTGATACAATTTGCATTCTTCTATAAATTACATTTTTATGACTAAGTGGTTTATTTGTTTATGTTTAATAATTTATTTATATTTTTATTTATGTGTTGCTCTAAGTTACTCAGCTTAATTAGTGCTCCTTTAATTTTTTTTGCCTTTTTCCTCAAGAGGTGAGTGATGCTCTAAACCTGGAAGTGTTTAAGAAGCATTTAAGCAATGGTAGAGACTTTAAATTTTGGTCAGCCATGAAGTGGTCAGGCATGATATTTGTAGTGAGCTAAATGATCTAAGTGATTAAATTATAGTCCCTTGCAATCAACTCAACTGAAATATTCCATTGTTTCCATTCTGTTCTATTTTCTCCTGCCTCTAAGAGAGAGGAGATTCCTGCTTGTTCATTTATGAGGGTGCTTGACCTCCTCATGCCTTTGGTGTCAGTCATCTAATCAGTGTTTCTCTCCAGAATCTACCACGTTCATAACATGCAGAAAGGGAACTAATGGAATTCCTTTGACAGTCAGCAAATATATTCATCACTTAGGAAGTGCAACAGCTCAGTTTGGAAAAAAAACAGATTTTAATCTGAAAAAAAGTCAATTTAGCTTTGCCCCAAATATTTTTCTTTTTTTTTTTTTTTTTTTTTTTTTTTTTTTTTTTTTTTTCCAGGCTTGATGACATATGTATTAAGACAAAAGTTCCAGAAAGGACCATCATGCAGCTTTGGTACAGTCCAAGGAAAGGAAGACTGGATTACAGGAGTGTGGCAGGCACATTGTTCTTTCTTTCAGGATTTTTCATAGAGGAGCACAGAGGAAAGAAAGAGAAAACAATTTCTATTCTGCTCCTTGTTTTCCCATGTGGAGTGTGTTTGGAGAATTGTTTACCTGGAGTGATTGCTTGACTGGATTCAGGTGAGGATTGTTGGAGCCTGATGGCCAATCCAATCCACCTGTGTCTGGACTCTCCAGAGAGGGTCAAGAGTTGTGAGTTAGTTAGATATGGTAGTTAGAAAAAGTAGGTATGTATTTTAGTATCTCCTTTAAATAGTATATTAATGCATTATAGTATAGTTATAATAAAGAAATCATTCAGCCTTCTGAACTGGAGTCAGACATCATCATCTCTTCCCACCGGATTCGCCTGCAGTTACAATACAGGAGCATAAAGATGTGGGATGTGTGAAGGAACAATGCTTATCAGGTAGCTATCCAGTCATAATTTGATTCTTATCTTTTTAGCAGTTAACATCTTGATTGTGAAAAGACAGGTTGCAAAACCAATCAGTGCTGCTTAATGTGGGTGGAAAACTGAGGAGCTGGAACCTTGCTGATGTAAGGGCTGTGGTGCAGATTAATGAAGAGTTTGTTCCCAAATGGATTGTCCCCCTTGGAAGGACCTGCTGCTATAATGGACCTGGGTGCAGTTATCAGCATTCCTGTCACAGCAGTGTCTGACAGTGATAATGTCATGAGTGTCCTGCATTTGACAGGCAGCTCTTTCTCTCAGCAGGTTACCTGGCTCATCCTGAGGTAATGAAAGTTTCAGTTATCCAAGTGCTTGACATAAATCCATGCAAGGTCTTAAAACCTTGCTACCATTTTGGGTGCTTGAGGACAGTTTTTAAAAAAATCTAAAACTCCAGCTAAGCTTGTGCTTGTCTCCTGACATCCCCAGGCTCAAGCCTTGTCCAACCTGGCCTGGAACACTTCCAGGCATGGGGCAGCCACAGCTTCTCTGGGCACCTTGTGCCAGGACCTCCCCACCCTCACAGGGAAGAATTTTTTCCCAAAATCCATCCCATCTAACCCTGCCTTCTGTCCCTTTGAAGCCATTCCCCCTTGTCCTGTCACTCCAAGCCACTGTAAAAAGTCCCTCTCCAGCTCTCTTGGAGGCTCTTTAGGTACTGGAATTGTGCACAGAAATTGCCATGTTTGGGGGTTTTTTTTGTGCTCCATACACTAAAAACCCTTTGGGGAGGGAGCTTTTGCCTGCTTGACTTATTGACCCAGTGGGAGCTATTTAACCTTGTGCAGGATTTCAGGATCAGAGAAAGCTTGGGCTGATGATCTTGAAGGTTGGACTCCATGATCTTGGAGGTCTTTTCCCACCTTAAGAATTCCATAAAGTAGCTAAGGGGCACGGGACAAGAAGGGGGTGGATTCTTCCTTCTTTTCTGCTGAATATTCAATATTGAGTATTCAGTGTAAGAGGAGAAGCTAAAAGGAAGGAGTTGTGCTGCACTCCTGAAGGTATGTGCTGGTGTGCTGGAAGTGTGGTTTATCTCGTATGTTATAAAAACACATTCTGTAAAAAGCACCAAATGTGAGCCTAAAGGAATGACAAAGCCCAGGAATCAGGAGGAAATGGTGCCTACTGTGACAGGGGACAAGCAAAGAAAAAGGTTGGTGATAACAACTATTAAACTTCTTTTTAAGGCACCTTATTGCACTGGTTGTCTCTGGGAGCTGGGCTGAGAAACCGGCTTTAGGATTTTCACACCTTCCTGTAAAGGAGAAGAGCCAGAAGTATTGTGTAAACAGTTTGAGATAACGAGATGAGATTTCTTCTTTTGCATCAGCATTTCTTTTGGAAATCTAGACTGCAGGATCATTATCAAGTGTGAGCTTTACCAGCACAAGTAGACTCAAGAGCAAACAAGCACTGAGGGGAAAAAATAAAAGGGCAAATAGATGCATGAGAAATATTATAAATGTAAAGAAATCAGTTCAAATTAATTAATCATCAAAAGATGGTATCTCAGATAAATTAATTAATGTATTTTGAAAAACCTGTCCTAATTTTGGACAGGCTCCTCCATCTGGGTTGTTGCTGTTGTGGGTTTTAACAGGTGGTTTTCTACAGGATAAAGAAATCATTCAGTCAATCACAGTTTTAATTTTCAAGATTGGGTCTGTTTTGACAAGAGGAAATTATGTAGATGTTGTGACTGTTTAGAGGGAAAGGAAAAATGGCACCAAGTCTTGTTCTGCAATTAATGCTCATTTCCTGGAGTCCACAAATCTAATTAATAATTTTACCAACAAAAAGGGGGCAGTGGGAGGGGAAGAAACAGCAGTTTCACAACCTGCTATCAGAACCTGGTACAACATTCCATGTGTGCCATCCCAGGTTTATCCAAGGTAACAGAAGCATCCAGGGCAGAGCTTCGAGGATTATTCCTGCCACGGGCTCTGTGGGAGCTCCCGGCTGGGCTGTGAGTGTTCGCAAACTGGACTGAAATACAGGGTTTCATCAGGTGCTAACTATTATACTGAGTTTTCTGGAGATTGGGGTGGTTTGGTTTCTGTTTTTTTTTAGTAGGACATAAGAATATGCCTAATTCATGTTTCATCCGAAGGGTTTGTGGACTGCAACATCAAAAGCAAAGCTACAGAGTGATATTTTTTCTGGTTAATCAGCGGAGTATTTTAAGGGAAGTTTTCCCTGTCTGAGCCCGTCCTGGGAATGGAATTAACTTGCTGAGGACCCCGCCTAAGCAGTCAGGTACCCCCTACCCGAGGGTACTACCTGAGGACTTTAGGAATGCAGCACCAGGGTGGGAAAGGGGCAATTTTGGGAGGCAGACCCAACCTGGAGGAGCTGGAGCGGGTGGAGGAGGCGGGGAGCGGCGCCGGGGCGGCTCCCTCCCTTAAAAGCCACGGCGGAGCGGGATGCGGGGCTGCAGGCACGGCGGGAGGCAGGATGGCACCGCCGCGGGGCGGCGGGGAGGTGCGGGATGGGGACAGGGATGGGGACAGGGACAGAGCCCCCGCAGCGGGGATGCGGCGCTTCACCTGGGAGGAGATCGGGCAGCGGAACGGGCGAGGGCCGGCGCCGCAGGAGCGCTGGCTGGTGATCCACAGGAAGGTGTACGACATCAGCCACTTCTACCGGAGGCACCCGGGAGGGGCCCGGCTCCTCGTCAGCCACGCCGGGCAGGACGCCACGGTGAGCGGAGCGGGGATGCGGAGACCGGGATGCGGCCGGGGAAGTCGTGCGGAGAGAGCTTGGGAGTGGGAATCGAGGTATGGGACAGAGTCGGGAGAGCGAAGTGTGACCGCTCCGTGCGAGCCTCGCCATCCCCATGCCATGGGAAAGGGCAAATGGGGAGATGCAGCCCACGGGAACGGGATCTGAGCGGTTGCTCCAGCTAAATCAGAGCAACAGCTGGAGCGAGAGCAGAGGAGCACATGGAGATGCTCAGAGGACTGGAGCACCTCTGCTAGCTGGGAGTGTTCAGCCTGGGGACGAGAAGGCTCCAGGAAGAGCTCAGAGCCCTTTCCACTACCTAAAGGTCTCCAAGAGAACCAGAGAGGGACTTTGGACAAGGGCCCGGAGGGACGGGACAAAGGAGAATAGCTTTAAACTAAAAGAGCATCAATTTAGATTGGATATAAGGAAGAAGGTTTTGATGATGAGGGTGGTGAAACATTGGCATGGGTCACCCAGAGATTTCCCATCCCCAGATACCTCCAAGTCCAGGTGGGATGGAGCAATCTGATGTAGTTGAAGATGTCCCTGCTCATTGCAGGGTGGGGGTGGGGGTGGGGGTGGATTAGAGGAGCTTTAAAGGTCCCTTCCAACCCAAACCATTCTGTGATCGTTAAGTCTTCAGGATTCCTCTTATCTTCTGCTCTTGCTTGTGTAGTTGCTGTGAGTTGCAGCATTTTTTCCCATATATAAGGGATATTTGAGGCTCAAGAAATCAAAATAATTTTCAGTACATCAAGTTTAAATTTCAAGTTGTGTATTAGTTGAACTTTGCATTCTGTAATTTCATCACTTATTTCTTGAGTTACTAGTGCCAGATTTCTTCCATTTTACATTGCTGGAAAATCCCAGACAATGGATGAACAAGATATTTTGTTTCTGGGATCTGAGCCAGTTTGGTAGGTAGTTGGTTCCATGTCCAAATCATTAAGCCCTGCAGGACCTGAGCCACTTTCATGTCTGTCCATCTTGCATTAGGTCCATTGCTTAATCTTTTGGATGTAGGTTATGAAAAATTAAGACATTATCTTAGCTGACCTGGGAGATTTTAACCAAAAGCAGAAACCCAAACAAGGTGGCAGCTCAGGAGAGGATGAGAAGCACAGAAGGCTTCAATGAGCAGAGGAACCTGAAGAATGAAAAAAAATGAGTATAATTAATGCCAACATTTTAGAAAGGGTGACACTGCACACTGAAACTGTGGAGTCCTCTTGGTGCTGATTTTTGTTGTGGTGTTCTCTCACAAAGGATAAAAAAGAAAGGATGCCTTTCACCAGACCAAGTTACTTCAAGCTGGCCTTGGACACTTCCAGAAATGAAGTGATTCAAAAGGCAATTTTAAAAAAAAAAATTTTTTTTTTAACAAATTCTGGATTTTTTTCCCTTTGTTGCTGTGCCTTTGCAGGATGCCTTTGTGGCATTCCACGTTGACAAGGTGCTGGTGAGCAAGTACTTGAAGCCACTGCAGATTGGGGAGTTGGCACCAGACCAACCCAGCATTGAGCCCACTAAAAATGTAAGTCTGTCCTTACAAAACAGGTCAAAGGAGACTAAAGGAAAATATTCTGAGTTTACACCTTGTTCTTCTCTATCAGCATAGCTCCTGGAGCAATAGGAACCAGGTTGCTCACATTTTTTTTGGCTACTACTTAAAAACAATGTGTAAATATGAGTCTAAATCCACATTCTGTGGTTGAGAATGAAGTTCCTGAAGATTAATTTTTCTACAGCCTCTCTCCCTAAATAGCAGAGTTATCACCTCTTTTTTCCCTTGTTTTGAGGGAGAGCTAACCAAAAGGAAAAGGAATAATCTTGGAGAATAAATATTCTCCTTCAGCTGCAGGTGTGTTTAACCCTCCCCTGTTAATCCTGGGAAGGGAAAAGTGAAGACAATAGAAGGAATAATTTCATGCAAAGACATACCACAAGGTGGCATGCGAAGTTCATGCACACAAAGTGCATCTTTCACTAAACACAACTTCCAGCTGAGCCCTCTGCTGCCTGCCAAGGACTTGATGGAAGAAGCACTGAGGAGGATTTGTTTTAGGGATTGGGATGCAGACATTGTGATGGCTGCTCCTGGCTCCTCAACAAAAAGCTGTAGCAGAGGTATGATAATGTTTATTAAACCCAGCTCTTGCCCTTTTAGCCAGATCCTTTGTTCTTTCTCCCCCTCATTAAAGTGGTTTTCAGGTTATGAGGCTGCAGTGATGCTCTCTAAAACCAGAGAATTGTAACCCTGATGCTTCCCCCAGGAAATGCTGGTGAAAGATTTCCGGGAATTGCGCGCTACAGTCGAAAGAATGGGACTCCTGGAGCCAAACCAGCTCTTCTTCTTCCTGCTCCTGGCTCACATCCTGCTCTTGGATACAGCTGCCTGGCTCATCCTCTTCTACTTTGGGACATCCTTACTGCCCTTCGTTTTCTCCCTGCTGCTGCTGACTATTTCCCAGGTGAGCAATGAATGCCACAGCATGGACTTGCACCAACCTACATGCACACACGTGAGCAGTTTCTTGTCCTTTGCTTCCTCACTTGGCACAGTTTCACTTTGTCATAAAAACACAGCCACTATCTGGATACCAAGAAGAAATTTTGCATGTGGGGAGCTCACACTAAACTTAGTTTGGGATTCTTTCAGCAAGATATATTCTGGGGGAAGCCTTGGGACTGTCAGGATTCCACAGTCCCTTTCTGCTGGTGACTTGGGAGTAGTGTCTGGAAAATAAATCTTAATATTTCAAAGCAAAGGATGAGTGTGGCACCATCCCTGTCTCAATTCCTCTTTTTCTCCCCTCCTAAAGTTTTCTTTCTTCTACTCCAGGTCCAGGCTTCCTGGTTACAGCATGACTTAGGACACCTCTCAGTATTCAGGAAAACCAAGTGGAACCACTTGCTACACAAGTTTGTGATGTGCCATTTGATTGTGAGTCCCTGGAAAAGTTCTGAGGGTTTTCCTGTAGAAATGTGTGTTCTGGAGACTCTCTGGAGCATGTGCAACACTGATGGAGGGATTAGGGGCAGGAGGTAAAGGGAATTCTGGCTCTGAAAGTGCTTTTCATGCTTTGTTCTTCCCTTGAACAGGGGGCCTCGGCCAAGTGGTGGACTCTCCTGCACTCCCAGCACCATGCCAAACCCAACTGCTTCCACAAGGACCCTGACATTGATATGCACCCTTTCCTCTTCACTTTGGGGAAGAAATTCTCTGTGGAGGTCAGTGAGTGGGTGTGGGAAGTCTAAAACTAAGGTGTGATGGCAGTTTCTGCAAAGAGGTTTATTTCTCCACAGTCCACACTAAGTCCTTGTAAGAATGTCTCAAACAGCTGATCCATTGACGTAAATAAATTAGACATGATGTAAGGGCATTGTATATAGGGTGGAAAAGCACATTCATGGTTGGAGAAACCTAATGACCTAGAAGAACGCAGTAATTAATGATCATTAAGTAACTTGTAAACATCAATCACTGTAAGGCATGGCTACAATCAGCCTGGAATTATTATTTTAATATTAATGTATGAGGCTCAGTCAAAGGGGTAGCTTTGATGTCTTCTAGGAGAGATTGCTGTGACAGGAACAGCAGGACTGAAAAAGCCAGGGCTGTTCCTGGAACTCCAGTTGGGCAGAATTTGTTGCACCATGTAGGATATTCTTAGTTTGTTCTGTTTGGACACTGCCAGGAGTGACAACCTAAGAGTGCTGATCAACCTTTGGCTGTAGATCCTATCTTGAGATCCCATCACAGCAGCTACAGCAGTCAAATATTCTTCTCCATGCCATCGTGGAACTGCTATTTAAATTTAGAGAATCAGAGAAGAAATAAGGGAAAAAATGAGAGAAAATACATATTTCTGACCACTAACATAACTCAGCCTTGATATATCTAATTCTTCACAAAATGAATCATGAAAAAAGGAATGAGAGTTGTGGGAAGTGTACAAGAAGAGTCCCTCTGGAAAAAAAAAAATTGGAAAAGAGCAAGTTACCTGTGAAAATTGCTTGGTCTCCACTAATTTGTTTTTTCCTGGATTTTTTTTTTTTTTTCTCACAGCTTGGGATCAAAAAGAAAAAATACATGCCCTACAACCACCAACACAAATACTTCTTCATCAGTGAGTATCTCTATCCTCCTGCAATTCCCTGAGAAGTATTAAAGGGGCTTGGAGATTCTACTTTTGACCTGGAGAACTTGAGAAAAACAATGGTGCCTGAGTCAAAGAACACAATAAAAAGCCAAGATATAACATCTAGATTTTTGGAAGAGTTGAAGACCTGACCCATCTTATCCCAGATCTCCCACATCCTCCACAGAGGCTCTGGGTTATGATGCCATACCATATCTTTCAGTAGTATCAAAGTCTGTGGGTTTCAGGTTTTTTGGTTTGGTTTGCTTTGGTTTCTTGGGTTTTTAAGTGCAAGTGAGATGTTCTTTTGGAAGGCTGAGTTTGAGTTCTTCAACAATCCCTGATACACAAGGGATTTCATATGCATTCCTGTTGTCGCCCGGCTTTGCACTAAGGAATAAGGAGCCAGATAAGCTTTGGGCTGTGGAAGCTACTTCTCAAAATAAACATTTGTGGCTGTTCCTCAGTCAAGAGCCTATGATTAAATCTGAGGTTTGTAAGAACTCTCAGATTAATGGACAGACCTACAAATGTTTTAAGGCACTAAACCATCCTAGCATCCTAACCTGGAATGTTCTCCAGATTGAGCAGGAATTCAGGACCCTTCCCTCCCAGGCTGATGTTGTCACTCACAGTCCATGATGTCACCAGTGATGAATTTTTCTTTCCAGCTCTTCCTCCCCTCCTGTTCCCCACCTACTTCCACTGCCACACATTCTACATTGCCTACACAAAGAAGTACTGGGTGGTGAGTACTGCTACTTGTGTGACCAAAAGGAGTCAGATGGGGACCTTCAGCCTTCCTTCTGAGCATGGAGCCAGCTCCTTGCTGGGCAAGAATATCCAGATTCACCTCTTACAGCAAGCTGTGAGAAACTATCACAGGCTTGGGTTGATTGTTCTAGATTATTCCGTTAAAAAAAAATAAGCAAACTGTCAAAGCTGAAAGTAAATTGTTCTTTTATACCTATAGTATGAAGCTGTAAAAAATAAATAAGCAAATGTAATTTATAAGACATGCTTTTCTTGTTGTCTCTGGTTTTGGTAGGACTTGGTCTGGATGCTGACCTTCTACATCAGATTCTTTTATACTTATGGATCTTTATTAGAAACAAAGAGTCTCCTGGCATATTATTTTATATTCAGGTGATGTGTCTTTAGAAGCTTCTTCAGCTTTTTGTCTATGCATTCTTTCCATCTGTACCTGCCTGCCTTTCTCTATGTTTTCATTTCCACATTCTCCTTTGTCATCCAATTTTTGCCTATTTTTTTAATTAATAAATTCTTTAGTTCAATTGCCAGTGCGAGTTTTGTGTTGCCCCATTAGCTGTGGCAACGAAGAGATTTCACTGAGTGCTGGCCAAATTGAGAAATATTTACCTCATATAACATTCAGTGCTTTGGGTGTTGGGTCTGCTGCTGCTCAAAGAGAACATTTAAACAAAATAGCTTAGCCTGGGCTTGCAAATGCCTAGGTATTATCCAGCAGCACTGACTTAAATGGTCAGCATTCTTGGACCATTCTTGGACCATTTCACTGATTCTAATCCCTTGGACCATTTCACTGATTCTAATCAGTTTGGGCCTTGGCTACAGATAAAACAAGTTGAACACCTGTCAGTGTTATAACAAAACACATAATAATGAGTTTCATAAGGAAATAATGAAACTTCCAGGGTTTGGAAGTCCTTCCAGGTGCTGGCTTAGCAAGGCTAGTGCTCAGTCATGTCTTTAAGTCTGGCTTTGACATTATTTCAATGGCTCCTCGCTGACCTGCTCACCCAGCACTGAATTCTCTCATCTCATTGCACAGGATGCTGGAGAGCAGCTGGTTTGTCTGGGTCTCACAGATGAACCACATCCCAATGGATATCGACTATGACAAGAATTTGGACTGGATGTCTACTCAGGTAAAAGATTTTTTTTCCCTTCTTAAGAATTGTGGCCATACAGGTACAAATTTTAACCATAATCAGGTCTCCTGTTGCATTAAGGGGGAGGTCTGTTGGTGGCTGGGAGGTGAAGGTTAATAGGCTGATGGATTCAGTAATGGAAAAGGTAAAGGAGTACAGCAGTGGCACACTCGTGGGCAATCCAAAATGAAATCCAGGTCGAGCTCTGGTTCCTAAACATACTCTGACCTGTCTCTGACTCTGCTTTCCTCTCCCCTCCTTCAGCTCCAGGCAACCTGCAACGTGGAGCAGTCACTCTTCAATGACTGGTTCACAGGGCACCTCAACTTCCAGATTGAGCATCAGTGAGTAGTCACCCCAAGAGGGAATTTTCTTTCCCCTCCTCCTTTTTTAAAAATATTTTTCCTTCTCTCTTTTTCCTTCCTTATTATTTTTTTGCTCTGAATTCTACAAATAGTTGTGGGGTACCAATGAGTTTGCCTTTAAAACTTGAATTTAAGAGAGTCATATAATTCAAAACTTTCATTGGATCCACAGGATGACAAGAGAAAATGGAACAGGGGCAGGATCCATGCAAGGACAGCAATAGAGTCAACCCCAAGTAGTAGGATCAATGGAAATGTCCTGGTTAAAGCACCGGTTTTAGTCTTTAAACAGGAGTTTAAAGCCACCTCTGCAAATTTTTTTTTTTTTTTCTGTTACTTATTAGAGTGAGATATGCAAGGATGAAGGATGGGCTCATCTCCTCCTTTGTACTACTTCTGTAAAAAGGGAGGGAGGGAAAAGTAATTTTTTCTATAAACATCATTTAATTTGGAGACAAACTGTGTGGAAAAGAAAAGAGGGGAAAGCAGGAAATTCCTACCAGTTCCTTGTGCTAAAAGCACAGCAGGGGGAAAGAAGAGCTAGGAGCAGCTACAGACCCAGCTCATTGTGAGCTGGGTGATTCCTGGGAAGCACTAATGGCTAGGATTTCCTGTAAAGCTTGCCTGTCTCCTGTTTACAGCCTGTTCCCCTCCATGCCACGGCACAACTACTGGAAGGTGGCCCCTCTGGTGAAGTCCCTGTGTGCCAAGCATGGCATTGAGTACCAGTGCAAGCCTCTGCTCACAGCCTTCGCAGACATCGTGCAGTGAGTAAAAATAAACCCCCAAAAGGATGCAGGAGAGACTGGAATCCTAAAAGCAAGAGCTGCTCTCCTTTTACCCTCACAGGCACATGGTGATTCTTGGGGAGAGATCTTTGTGGGTCTCAGCTTATTGTGGGATTCTGGGAAATGAGCAGACAAAACCTCATTCCCTTGTCCCAGCAAGACTCCCCTGAGCAGCCCTGTGACGTGTCCTCTCTCTCTCTCCCAGCTCCCTAAAGACCTCAGGAGAGCTCTGGCACGATGCCTACCTGCACAAATAAAGGACAAAGCTTGGTGCTACCATTCAGAGCCTGCCACAGCTGCATTCCCAGCAAGCTGAGGGGCAGGGATCACAAGGGACGCTCTGGCAGAACAAAGTGAGTAAGGACTGAGGGATAAAATTCAAATAGGGATGAAGCTGCCTGAATTTTTCTTCTAGTTTTTCCTAGGGTTATGGTTCAAATATGTTAAGAGTGGGCAGGGCAAGCAGAAGGTGAATTGTTAGGAGAGGAGGGAGCTCGTTGCTGACTGAGTCTGAGCATTTCTGAGCCTGGGCGTGGGCTCAAGTCAGATCATGGACTGGTGGAGCTGCACATGCATAACTTCATGTCAGAGACCTCTGATCATGGGTTTTGTTGGTTTGGTTTTTTTTTGTTTGTTTTCCTCATGTGGAAGGTGTAATGCTTGATACAGCATTTGTTTACTTGAATTTGAAACTGCAAAGGATTTTGGATTAACATGGTGTTCCACCAATGTGCTTAAACTACAATAAATTATGATAAACTACAAACAACACTTAGACTGTGGCAAGTGCACATGCAGTGAATAAAAACATAAATGTGTTTTCATTGCTGTTCTCTAGAGCATCCTCATTGTCACAAGACCAAGAAACACATGGGGTGTTAAAACCAGCTTAAGGCCTCTGCTCTCTTCAAAATTTATCTGGTTTGAGAGGTTTTTTTGTACTTTGTGTTGGGCTGAGACATGTGCACACTCCACATACACTCGCCACCTATACAGGACTAAGATTATACTACAGAAAGGTAAACCAAAAGTAAAATAAATCACCTACAGACATTTGGTCAAATCCAAAACTTGCTGTTGCAGCTAAACCAAGATTAGATCAGATTTTGGCTGTGCCAGGCAGAAGGTGAGTCAGTGAAAGAGGCTGGTCCCGGTACTTTGAATCACCTTGAGAGGAGACAATATCTTTCCATTAATTAGTAAGAAAGCCTGTTCTTTGTCTCAGGTGAATACTAAAGTGAGTACATAATCAGAACCTGAAATAAAAGGCCAGCTTTTGGAAAGGAGACTATGGGAATAACAAAATTAATTTGAGTATTAGCAGTTACCACACTTTTTTTCACTAATTCAAGATTAATAAATAGAAAACTCACAAGGTAAAAAGAAATAGAAAAAGTCTCAGATGATGTAACTAACAAATGGACTTTGCACTACTTGTGCAATGATTGGCTGAATTACTCAAAAACCTTTAACCCCACAGAGTCAGTCAGAACAAGGGAAAGATTTGCTATTAAACCATTTTTCCTGCCTTGGAAAAAGTGCAATTATGTTTAGAGGTTAACAGCACAAAGTACAATGCCTGACCTACAGGAGCAAAAGAAGCAATTCCCAAAAGTTCTGTGGGAGAATTAAGAAATAAAGCAGAAGTCACAACAGTATAATTTACTCACAAACACATTTCCACTACCTTAAATAGCCTTTTTAAATTACCTTAATCAGCCTTTGAAAATTATTTATTGGGTTGATGAAATGCCTGATTTTGAAGATCATAATTTGATTTTTGGACCTTTGACATCATTTGGCTCCTAGTTCAGGACCCCTGAAACTCAAAATGCCATTTAAAAAAGAGCTGTGAGTGTTTTCATTGTTTGAGGACCCAACAGTGCTCCAGTGAGGACAGGTGTGCAAGAGGATTGGGCAAGACTGAGACGAAGGGCTGTGGCTAAATATGGAACAAAGCCTAAGCAATGTATGGATCAATGCCAGAGCAAACAGGAGCAGTTGCCAAGTCTTCCTTGGGTTATCTTTGAGCAATCTTACCAGTATCAATCTCAGAAGAAAGGCTGCCTGCACTCCCTCAGGAAAATATTGGATTGCTGGATAAGATTTTGCAAAGATATCATTGAGAGGCCCAAAGAAGGAAACACATGCAAATTAGTTATATAACTCAACAGAAAAGCACAAACAAACAAAACCCCAAAACAACAAAAAACCCAGTCCTGTAAAGACGGTATGGTACATGAAAACAGTGAAAAAAAAAAAAAATCAGCATCAGCAGTAGAGTATCTTCCTTGAATGTGAACAATGATGAAAACCAATACAAAATATTAACTGGCTTATTCTAAAATACAGCCTTGATTCCTGCAACTCTGAAGGGCAAAATTTCATTCTTTTCTCACACTAGTATCTTGGAATCAGCAGTTCGGGGAAAACAGTTCCTACTTAAAATAATACTGAAAGTTTAAATTCAAAGTGAAGTATTTTTCCAATAAAATCTCTGAGGAAAAGTACTGAGTGGCTAAAGCACCTTGGACTGTGCACACACACCATAAATTTAAAAAAAAAAAAAATTCATTCCTGATTTTCCAGCTTCCCTCCACAAAGTCAAGAGTGTTGCTGAGACCTTGTAGAGAACACAGAAGCTATGATAATGTAGAAATTCTGTATTTTCATTCGGTTTGGGGAGCGTTGCAACTGTAACTGAGTCTGTAACCAGTACCTGCCATCACCCTCCTTCCTCAATAAATCTTACAACATGTAAGCACAAGGTCAAAGATTGCCAAGTGTGGAAAAGAGAGTCATACAATAGTTTGCGTAGGAAAGTGTATTCACTTCTGTATCAATCCTGAATCAATAATCACAGATACAAGTATTTGCTTCACTGGAAAAAAAAACACCCAACTAAACAATAAAAAAACCCAGTTCCCAATCCTAGTCAAAGTTTAAAAATGGGGAACCTGAGAGAAACAAGCAAAGAATAAATACTGAAATTAACAGACACAGCAAATCTATATAAAGATTTCTGTGGTTCATCACATGCTATAAAACAGGAAATGAAGTTTTCCTTCTGACTAGGTCCATTAGAGATTTACAGTATTTGAACTGCTCTGAGTAGCAGGATGTAAAAATATTTAGTGGGCTTTTTCCATTAAAAAAGTAAAACTATCAGTTTAGCAAAGTTCAGTCTGTCATCTAGGAACAAATTTCACCCCAAATTCTGAGGGCCTGCAGTGCAAAGAGATTTCCAGCTGCTCTGGGTTGAAGTTTGACTTCAGCTGGAATTCCAGCGTGACGAAGTTCAAGCTTTCATCAGACAATTAAAGCATACAGGCTATGCTCTGTAATCCAGGCTGCAAAAGTGTCATCATTAACAGTCAGCTATCAAATGCTTCACTTACTGTTATTTTTACATCACTGCCCTGTTGTTCAGCCTTCATTTGCTTTCCCAGACTGTGTAAAAATGCACCACTTTATAACCTTTTGCAAACACAGGGCTGTTTTGGGAGTCTTCTTAATATTACTGATCCATCCCAGCTGGAATCATCCTGAATGCCCCAAACCTGGCAAAACTGCCTTAAATTCATTTACAATAATCAAAATAGAGCCTCAGTTCTTTACCCAGTTCTGTCTAAATTGACCTTAGGCCACCACTGAGGTTTAATCCTCAATGTCAGAGTTGAGATTATGCCCAAGTCCATCTCTGCATGCCATGACCTGTGTCATGACCACACAGCTTTGACCCCAAACATCACTTCAGACTGAGCTCTGCAATATTACCTGGGGGAGAGGGGCAAAGGTCAGGCTTTACCATGCACTGCAGATCTCCGTGTAATTTTTTATCAGCAGGAGATAAGAACACACAACCCATCAGTGGATCGATTCGCTTCTGCAGCACTGGGCTGGAGCCCCACACCCCACAGCAATCTCAACTCGGAGTGTGGAGGCAGTTAGGGAGGGCTCATCCAGTCCAACCCCCTGCAGGGAACAGGGACATCTTCCACCATCCCAGGCTGCTCAGAGCGCTGTCCAACCTGGCCTTGAACAATTACAGGGATGTGGCACCCACCACCTCTCTTGGAACCGTGAGCCACGGCTTCATCACCCTCATAAAACATTTTGTGAGAAAATGGTGACTCACCTGCCTGCAAGAATTCATGGATCAGATCTCCAAAACAGAGAACAAACTGCCTTTTTCTGCAAGATGAGCAACAGTATGGAATATTTGGCAAAACAAAGTGATTGGTTTACTGGAAGTTGAAATTATGGATACTCAAACACCGCTTAGCAGGCAATTCCCATCAATGAGCTGCACTAAGGAAAGGCAATCAGGGCTTTTTCCAACATCTTTGAAGCACTGGAAAGTCTGATCCAAACCTACCTCACCCTTTTTCTCCCCACATAACATTTATCAATCCCATGAACTTCTCAGCTCCTGGCACAGCTCACTACAACAAATGTGATTCTGAAATTTGCTCATGGTTTTTGGATATTCATGTTCAAATATTTTGGGGAATGGAAAATAACCTGCCCATTAAAAGAAGAGGTATTGCTAGAGAAGCTGTAATTTCCCAAACATCAGTTTCAAATTCATTCCCAAATTCACTGCTGGATATGTGCATCTAAAATAAAACAGTAATAAGAAAGTGTTGAGCAATTCTCCTTTACAGATCACTGAAATCATATTGCAACAACCTGGCAAAGGAATGTTTGATTTTAACTGAACAGAATACAAAAACAAAACAAAACTGCTGTTCTGTCATGTCAACAGCCTATTTAGTCTCACAATAAGGACCTGTAAATGGATTTGTCTTATGTATTTGAAGAAAAAACATTGCTCTTCCAGTGTTGCCTAATGCTCTCCAGAGCTTTGGGAAAAGCTAAGTTTTCTGTACACTTGTCACGGCCAGTTTAGCATAGAACACAGGTCACCCAAGTCATTTAAACACAACTGTAGGGTTGAAACATGAGTTTTTAAAACAAAGGCAGCTGCAAAAATAAATCCAACTTACAGCTTCTGCACCACTTCCAGAAAAACAGATGAAGGGATGTATGAACTTCCTAGATTAACACAAGGTATTTGAAGACATCTGCACAGAAAACATGTTGCCAAGAGATTTTTCATTCCATTTATTTCAGAAATAAGACAACAGTATAAATCACTTAGCAGACACAACCAAAATTAAAAGATCAGGACCCTTGTTTACTCTTTTCCAAAACTCATTCGGATTCTCTGTTCCAGCACAAAATATTCTCACCCAATCATGTAATCCCACATGCCTGATCAGGTAAAAAGCCAATGGAATCCTAGAATACAGCAGGTTTTCAGTTCATATTATTTTACTGCACCTCTACCCCAGCTGATTTTTCACAATAGGTTGGTAGATAGTTGGATTGCAGAGCAAATAACATTCTCCAAAAATTAACAGAATAGCATTTAGTATCTACTCTTCTTTACCTGCCACCATTCCTGGGAATTCACACTTAAATCAGGAAGTAATCCTAGTCAAAATACAACCCAAGGCAGACCCAGAAATGCAGTGATTATTGACAAATCACCCCCAAACTGCTGTGATTTTAATTTCTTACGTTTGCCTGAGTTAAGAGCAGTAGCTGGGCTCGGAAATGCTTTGCATTTCGCTTGGACAATAATTATCACATAGCTGGGGTCCCAAGTTTTTTTGCACAATTTAACTAAACTGCATATGCTGGGTAACATGCCAGCATGCCTCAAATCAGATTTTAGACATATTTTCTAGATATCTATGCTCATACAAACATGCTTTAAAGGATCACCCTGAAAATTAGCCCTGGCTTGATCAAGAAA